TTTCTGAAGAAGGGTCTAGGCCCGAAACGTCAGCTTTCCTGCTCCTCTGATGCTGCTTGGCCTGGTGTGTTCATCCAGCTTTATACCTTGTTATCTCAGATTCTCCAGCATCTGCAGTTCCTACTATTTCTGATATCAAAACATTGAATGTTTTCAAGGAATTAGATACAGTTCTTAGGGTCTGAAGAGAAAAATAAACAGTATAGGCAATAGGAGGGACAGAAAGAAATATAGAAAGTATACGTTGACCTGCAATCACTAAGTATGCACTTATGGCCAGATGATGTACCTATGTCCAGAAGATGTGAAAATACTATATGATTGGATAATATAGTCAGGTGTGCTAACCTGGAATGCAGACGCAGAGAACAGGGTTGGACAGATATATGAATGAGCAAATGTGTAACCTTTTATGCAGATAATAATTCCTAATCAAACTGTTGATTGGAAGCTTGTTATCTGTAACAATAGTGTAAAACTTTTGGTCTTGTAATAAAGATTGAAGCTGTACACCATTTTTTTCAAGTGTATGTTTCCCATGTGTACATGAATAAACATTTAAAAAGAAAACCTCAGTCTCATCAGGTCCAAGAGGAAATAAAAGGTTAAACTCATCCTTTCAGGGCTAAAGGAATTAAAGGATATGGGGAGAAAGTGGGAACAAGCTGCAGAGTCAGATGATGAATCATGGTCATATTGAATGGCAGAGCAGGTTCGAAGAGCCAAATGGCCTACTCTTGCTCCTATTTTTCATGTTTCCATTAATTTTCCTTATGGCCTTTGAATGAGACGGTCAATATAATACCAAATTAGGATCAGAATTTGACAATAGGTCTGTGTCCACAAACTGGGCTGAGACCAAATACTTTTTATTTAAAATCCTTTATAGCGAGAGTACAAGAGAAGATATTTATCTCAACTATGAGTTTAACGTTAATCTAGGGCAATTGATGCGAGATCAAGGATTCTACCTAATCCCTCTTCAAACACCTTCATGGCAGGCCAGGTTTTCTACTCATAATTCATTTTAAACTTAGAGTTTCAACTTCACGTTGTTGCTAAAGGAAGAAAAGTAATACAAAAGTAGTCTAAGTGCTGACTTGCACTGTACTAAAGTCTTGTGATAATTTTTAACTAAAGAAATGATTCTATTTCACTAAAATGTGGCACACAACTTTAGGAAACAAACTCCAATCCTAAAAGAAAGACTTTTATATTCTTCCTACTCACTCGTATCTGCAGGACTTTGCACACTTTGGCCATCTGGAAAAAATTTAAACATGAAGTTATCCAAAATAAAAATGCATAAAAGAGGAGGGAAAAATAAAACAAAAGCTTTGAGTTGCTGGAAAACACCTGGGGGTTAACTCTTTTGGTAAACAATAGAAACAGAAATGAACAGAAATACATGGCATACAAGAAGATGGTAATGGATCCATGTTCAAAAAAAAAATTACCCCACTAGGCCAATTAAATTTAAAGTGAGGAAGTTGGATTTCAGACTAATATGAGATGTGGCAGTAATTTTGGAAATAATTCAAATCTGCTGCTTCCGTCTTCCAAGCTGAACATATCCAGAGAGGAAATATATTCGGAGTCAAATTGATGTCTAGAGTTTCGATTTTCTTACTGACTCATATGATACTCCAGTGTAAACAGCATAAATTATTTTCATAAATGCCTTCAAAGAGATTCAAGCAAAAAGTAAATTAGTTAAGCAGACTTATCATGCTGGCAATTTGATTTTGTTGTGTATAGCTGCATCAAAAGTTTTAAAACCATTTGAACAGACCTTTAGATGCACATTTCTTAAGCTAGTTACCTGTAACATCAATTCACAATCATCCCGGCCAACAAAGATCATCTCACGTGGCAGCCGGTGGCGTGTGCCTCTGCTGCTCACCAAAAACCAGGATGTTAAGCTCATTTCTGCAGTTACTAAATGTTGTTTCAAGACTACGTCATCCTGTGGAGAGAAAAAGACAGTTTTAGGGGTTGACTTATGCTTCAAGTGCTACTAGAAGAATACTATGCATCGTTCTATAAATGTCGGTGGATTCTGTGTGCTGATTAAAACCAGATGTCATAAGTCATCACAGGAAACGACAGAGACTGTTGGATTTGAACAGGCTGGAAATTTATACACAAGCCACCAGTTGATAAAAGCTGCAGCTGCCTGGTACTTGCAGCATCTGAAAATTAACAGCCAATGATTAAAACAACAAAAGCAACTAAATGTACATTTCCTTTTTACATACCGCTCTGACTTACTATGAACTTGTATTTTACACACACGAATTCTTCCCACATAACATCAAGAGTCATTTGTAAACTGAACAATTGCATCACAACAGATGCATTACTTTCAGCCACTCAAATAGTGGCTTTATTGTTTAACATTTGTAAATGTGATGTATGATACAGAAATCATTCAGAGTCTATGAATACATCATTGCTGCACAGAAGACTACCTCAGAGGGAGCTGATTTACTGTTCTGTGGAAAAGTAGAAATGCTAAGTACAATTGGGATTAGGAGGGGAGGCAATGGTCTAGTGGTATTATCGCTGGACTGTTAATCCAGAGACCCAGATAACATTCTGGGGACCTGGGTTCAAATCCAGCCATGGCAGATGGTGGAATCTGAATTCAACAAATAACTGGAATTAAGAATGTAATGATGACCATGAATCCACTGTCAATTGTCAGAAAAACCCATCTGATTCACTAATGTCCTTTAGGGAAGGAAACTGCCATCCTCACCTGGTCTGGCTTACATGTGACTCCAGGCCCACAGCAATGTGGTTGACTCTCAACTTCCCTCTGGGCATTTAGGGTTGGGCAATAAATGCTGCCTAGCCAGCGACGCCCTCGTCCCAAAAATGATTAAAGTTCCAGCAAAAAAAAAAACAGCAAGGACAGTTACTATGATTGCTAATTTAACAGATAGTTAGCAGAAAAACAATTTTCAAATCTAGAATCAGAGGCATGTCTCAGCACCAAAAACAGGTAATCCTTAACTGCCCAGAAGATACTCTTTTACACTGTACTGGAAGGAAAATTCTAAGGCCCAGAGCCCACAATTGAATTGTGATTCTCGCAACTTCCCCAATTGCCAAATTGGACTATTTCTGCTATGCACTGACTTAATGAAATTGATTTAGAAAGATACTGGGCAGAATTTTTATTTGGGTACAGAAATGCATTTCTACATGCGAATGGTCACACTTGGTTTTTCTTTGGAATCTGATTTTTCTCCACATTGCTGGCCCCTGGCACCATGACAGTGTGTCCTGGTTTTTTCGCAGATCCAGAGTTACTAATGAGCAAAATGTAAACCTCCTCCTCCTAACAACAGGTTTCCTACTTTAAAATCATTCACACCATTTTCATTGCTGGTGTAGGATTTTGGAAGACCAGTTAAAAGCACACTAGATTTGAGTGCTGGAGAAGAAAATGGAAATTGGTGAGAATTCTGGAACATTCTAAAAAGGTAAGCATGAAGTATTTTTTCACCTTTAAATGCCATTATTATGTACTATTTTGTAACATGGATGAGTTTGTAATGCACACATGCATCATACAGATCTGTCCTTTAAAGGTAACTTAATCCTTAGATTGCCATGTATTACAGTCTTATTTCAAATGGAGAAGGCACCACAATGCACTGGAACGTATTACAAAATGTTGTGACACTGTTATTATCTTTTCTACTATGGTTTGAATGGCTCTGGCTGAATTAAAAATGGCTCTGGCACTTGTAAAAAAAAATCAAACTGCCTGCTTTCTTACATGGATTGACAGGATTCTGCTTTGAAATTCAGCTGAGACCTGCTGTTCTTTCCCTCCCAGAGAGGTGTGAACTCTTTGGACAGCTGTGGCTATTATCAATGCTTCACTGCATTTCAAGTGCTAATGAGTTCCATTCAACTGACAATGAACAACAGTGTTTCATGAAACTGTAATAACAGATTGCCCTTTAAAATAGTTCCTTGTGTTTGTGGACACAAAACAAATAATATTGTAATTATGATGAAGGGTCTAGGCCCGAAACGTCAGCCTTTCTGCTCGGCCTGCTGTGTTCATCCAGCTCTGCACCTTGTTGTCTCTTGTAATTATTAATGCTAGTTTCCCCAAATGGCAAAGTGCATTTTTTTTAAGAATCAATGATAAAATAGCTCTACTAAAATGGTGACAGGTTACTTTTCCCTCCATGGAATGCAAAATATTTTCCATTGGTATTGGGTGATACTTGAGGACCGTACACCATATATTCTGGCTAACTGGCTATGGAAGAAATATCTGGCAGGGGGTGTGGCCAAAAGGGCAAGGGTGAATTCTGCCTACATGACTTTTTAAAAAAAAATGCTGTTTCGCATAAGCAATAAGTTATTTTTAAATTCTATTGTTAAATTTATTTTGACCTTGAAATTGTGACTAGGCAATATGATAACTTGCCGTGTTCTGAAACTACTGCCATAAACTTAGTCATAAATGTCTTTCACCAAGTTCAAGAAATGAAGTAATCCAAGAGTACCGCTCTACAATTCAGATCACAGACAATTAAAAAAAGTGACATGACTTCCCTTAGAATTTCATTTCCTCTTAATGTCTAAGCACAAAGGACAGCCTTTTCTCTGTGGTTTAAAAGCAATCTAATCCACAAAAAAATTGCATCAGCTGAATACTATGTCAAAATCTGAAAAATTGATAATCTTCACTAGTTTTTGGAATAAAAGTTATTTTCCTTTTCCAACTGCAGGGCAGCAATTCTTTCCTGTATCATCATTGTTCAGTCTTAAAAGATGTACTTCTTGGAGGCTTGTGGCTAATTTACTATATGTTGAGAACCTCAATAAGCCAATATTCTAATACTGATCTTATACAATGAAATTATATTGTCCCTTTGGGGGTACAGCTGTTTCAAATTAATAAATCAATGCTAGAAGTAAAGTCAGCAGCACTAACTTTCTCTCCTACAACTGTTTAAACTTAATGGAATCACAGTAAGCTTAGAAAAACATGAGCAACAACATCTTTGGGTAAAATTTTACAGTAGCTGGATGATGCAAGGTCTTGCAACTCGCCAGTATCATGGTTTCTTCTCACTTGTATCTGGTCAGAAGTTAAGAATATGCACTTCTCCAAGACTGTGGAGCTAGTGGGTGTTACATTCCGACCAAGAAATGCTTTGTTAGGATACTGAATAGTCGAAATATTGGAAGTATGCCAATATTTATCAGATTAATAATCAAATAGAAAGGATGTGAAAGAAAATAAGGCATCAGTGGCTACTCTTTGACATCTGTAACCAATTTCAAATCACACTGACAGGGCCCTTTCTACGATTTACATGACTTGCCATCTTGATCAAGTAGTTCATGAAAAATTAATCCTTGCTGTCATAAAACTTAGCAGGGAACAATTTCAAGTAGTTAGCATAATCATGTACAATTTTTCTTTGCTTACGCTTAGTTCACAAATGAAATTAGACTCCAAATCTTCTCAAGTGTTTTTTCCCCAAAAATGCAGCTTTTTAGAAGATCTCGCTTCTATAAAGAAATCACTTCCCTAATGGGACAAAACCTAATGAATTCTCTCTCATGACAGATACAAGAGTTCAGGTTTAAATGGGAAATATTACTATGAAGGAGAATATAAGTATTGACTTCTTGAATGTCGTTCAACAAAAGAAAGCTCATCATTAGCATCTTTAAGTTGAAAATTTAGTGTTCAAATAGAAAAAAATGAACATATTAAAACAGTAAGTCATTAGTGGTCAGAATTTAAAGTAGGGTTAAAACATGATAACGCTTCTCCAAAGTACACAACACATGAATTCAAAAATAAAATTAACTCTTCATTTTAAGAAAAGATGATCTGATGAAGAAAGATACCCCTGAAGCTTACTTCACATCTAAATAACCTTTTCAGCTTTATAAATAGACCAAACATCACAGCTTTTAAAAGAACAGCAACACCTTTTGTTCTTCAGTTAAAAGGGATGCAAACAATTTTTAAACAATGTTGTTCAGTTAATAGCTAAAACAAACTCAACCCACTTCTGGGACAACAAGGTGTACAGCTGGATGAACACAGCAGGCCAAGCAGCATCAGAGGAGCAGGAAAGCTGACGTTTCGGGTCTGGACCCTTCTTCAGAAATGGGGGAGGGGAAGGGGATTCTGAAATAAATAGGGAGAAAGGGGGAGGCAGATAGAAGATGGATAAAGGAGAAGATAAGTGGAGAGGAGACAGACAGGTCAAGGAGGCAGGATTGGAGCCAGTAAAGGTGAGTGTAGGTGGGGAGTTAGGGAGGGGATAGGTCGGTCCAGGGAGGACGAACAGGTCAAGGGGGCAGGGTAGGAGATGGGGTGCGGCTTGAGGTGGGCGGACAGGTTAGGGAGGCAGGTACGAGCTGGGCTGGGTTTGGGATGCGGTCGGGGGAGGGGAGATTTTGAAGCTTGCGAAGTCCACATTGATACCATTGGGCTGCAGGGTTCCCAAGCAAAATATGAGATGCTGTTCCTGCAAGCTTCGGGTGGCACCGTTGTGGCACTGCAGGAGGCCCAGGATGGACATGTCGTCCAAAGAGTGGGAGGGGGAGTTGAAATGTTTCACGACTGGGACATGCAGTTGTTTGGTGCGAACCGAGCATAGGTGTTCCTCTGCTTGGTTTCCCCGATGTAGAGGAGGCCACAACGGGAACAGCAAATACAGTATACCACTTTAGCAGATGTGCAGGTGAACATCTGTTTGATGTGGAAGATCTTCTTCAGGCCTGGGATGGGGGCGAGGGGGGAGGTGTAGCGGTTGCAGGGAAAAGTGCCGGGGAGACTGGAGCGGACAAGGGAGTCACGGAGAGAGTGATCCCTCCGGAAAGCAGGTAAAGGGTGGGGAGGGAGAAATGTCTTTGGTAGTGGGATCGGATTGCAGATGGCGGAAGTGACGGAGGATGATGCGTTGGATC